TTGAACTCAATTGAGACACTTTTCCTATCAATCATCTTCAGTGTATGAGGATTGACTAAAGATTCTTTTGTCACTTTGCATCGATATAGTTGTTTGAAAGTCTCGCATCCTTCCACACATAATTATTATCATACAACTCTTTGAAATGAAAAATCATGCGTCAACATCTATTCTCTGAAGTTGCTTTTGTAATACAGGTGACGTAATACAAACATCACATATGTTGCAGTACTATCGTCACCACTGTCTTTATTACAATAGCCACTTCTTCTTTAATCGAGTCATCAGCAGGTGTCTCTGAAAAAGACTACTCAAGGACGTGACCAATTTTCTCATGCATGAGAGCAATTCTCAAATTGCGGTGTCAATAAAAAAAATCTAGTTTGGTTGTTGGCGTCTAGTATGCCATTCAAAACATATGGTTACTTAAGATTCAATGTAAATGATGAAAAGAAAATGAATAATATATAAAATGCATCAATTAATTTAACATGGATTTTTATTAAATTAATTATGTTCCCACTGTTTAAGTAAAATTTATGATTCTCTCACATAAATTTATGGAGTTCATACTTGACTCCCAGTGGGCTGGGATCCCATCTATTATATCAAAACCTTGAGTGTATAGAACAAGCCTTAATAAAACATTTGAGTAGATACTATTATCAATTGCATCCACACATAACTCTCAGATCGTTAAACTGACAACTCTTTGTCATTACACATTTTATATGTTAGCTTAACACGTCTCTAAAATTTATCTCCTTGAGTGTACTCAACAAGAGATAAACTTTAGTAAAATCGAACCCATCATTTAGAAATATCCAATATTTCATAGTGTCAAACATATCCCTAATAGACCAGTCTTGAGCGTACTCAACAAGTTGAGACGATTTGGGACTTTGATTTTTCACTATAATGATGGAAGGCGAAAGTAAAATATGACTTAATATTTTATTGAGGGGTTTTTTTGCATTCAAAGGCTTCATCAACAACGATACAATCATATATATTTTATTATACATCTATCATGCAAATAAACATATATATAATATAATAATAATAGTGTGGACGATTATGAATTTTTACTATCTAATCTTCCCGAGTTACAAGGAAGACTAGTTGGTCAATTCCTAGAAGGTATAGCATTGAACAGTATCAATGCACCATCTCCATGATCTCCCCCTCTTCTTGTTTCTTCAATTAGTTCAGCTGCAACATGCATCCTATACTAGTTGGCACGCAAACCTAAATAAAATTGGATTTGTAGGCCCATAGTAGTAATAATAATAGTAACGGACTCGCAGGTCCAAAATGATTAAGAGCTCGCAAGCCCATAATAATAAAAATAATAACGGGCTCGCAGACCCAAAACGATTAAGAGCTCGCAGGCCCACAAAACGACAATAATAAAATTAACCATTCTACACATCCATATGATCGAGTCTATAATCGTCCACTAATAATACATTTATCACATAAATATTTGTATGTATAATATCTAATATTATATGCTAACATGTTTCAAGTTTCTAACAATTAAGATTGTCTAAACTCTTTTAGACAAATGGATCGAAACAATTAAATAATTAATTAATCATATTAATCAATTATTTAATTAGCGGGTATATTTAATTAAAATCAAATTTTAATTAAATACCGAATTAGAGTCCAACTCTAATTCAACAATTATAGGGCAGGATAATTTAATTAAAATCAAATTTTAATTAAATATCAAATTAGAGTCAAACTCTAATTTCAAAATTTATGGCGGTTGAATTTAATTAAAATCAAATTTTAATTAAATAACAAAATTAGAGTCTAACTCTAATTCCAATATTTAGGGCGAATTAATTTAATCAAAATTTTAATTAAATACCAAATTATAGTCCAACTCTGATTGAAACAAATTTTAGGGTGAATTGATTTTATTAAAATCAAATTTTAATTAAATAGCAAATTAGAGTCAAACTCTAATACCAAGAAGATATTTAGGGCAAGACAATTTAATTAAAATCAAATTATAATTAAATATCAAATTAGAATCCAATTCTAACTTCAATAACATATTTGGGTGAATAATTAATTAAAATCAAATTTTAATTAAGTATTAAATTAGAGTCAAACTCTAATTTAAATTGAATTAATATTTTAATTTAGGATAAAATTCCTAAATAAAATAAAATTCAAATTATTGTCAAATTTTAATATTTAAGTTAAAATCCAATTTTAACGAAAATATAACAAGCCGTCAATTTTAAATAAAATTTTAATTTGGGTCAAAATTAAAACATGGGTCAAACCCAATTAAAAACATAATTTTAAAACCCATTTAAAATTTAAATTCAAAACCCATTTTGAAATTTGCAAATTGACCTAAGTTTAAAATTAAAAGGTGGTCCTTCAATTAACTTAATTGCGTGATAGGTCCTCCAATTAAAAATTGCAAAGTCACCCTCCTCATTTAATTACAAGCAGATCGGATCCCCTTTTAAAAAATTGCAACTTGACCCTAAGTCATTAATTGCAGGCGGGGTCCTGCCTCCATTCACCCTGAAGCGACTGAAAACCCTAGAATCCAATTTTTTTTTCTTGCAGTGACGGTTCTTATTAACAAGGGGCTTCTGTGGCAGCTTCCTGTCGCCCGCAGCGAGCAACTCTACAAAATCAGCTGTCACAGCGCGCGGTAGTGAGCGCTGCTGCCCATAGCGACGAGAGCTACTATCACAACGCACGTCAGCAGTTTGTTGTCGTGTTGCCAGCCCTGTCGGCGGCAACAATTGCCGCCTGCTCCTCCACCAGATCCCATTCTTAACATTATTAATTTTTCAATCCAAAAAATAATTTCTATTCAAAATCTGATTTTGAATATAAAAAATTATTTATTTTCTTAATCGCTAAAACAAGAAAAACAATTAACATTTAATTGTTCCAACATGCAAAGCAATTTCTAACAAACACAAAGTAGGCTCTGATACCACTGTTGAGAATTTACTTAACATGCGCAATAGAAAATTAAAACAAATTTCGATTCCTACCAGGAATCTCTTTGTGTTTAGATGTACTTTTCAGATCTGCAAACTTATTTGCTATTCTTTTCGTTCCAACAATCTTGATTCGCCATCCACAGCTGTCTAATTGTACAGTCTCCAACGGTGATCCACATAGAGAACAAGATTGTAGGATTAGAGTTTTCTTCTTATACTAACAAGAATAATGAAAAATCACTCCCAATTTGAAAACCCTAATCATATTTATATAAACACGAACGGGTTTGGCCTGACCCGATCCAACATTTAATTAACCTATTTAATTAATTTCGGTCCGTGAATTAATTAATCCAATTAATCAATTTAGGCCTATAAATAAGCAACTTAATTAATTAATTTATTCAATACTTGTTAAATTAATTATTTAACAAATCACAATCTTCCAGTTCTCCTTTTGTGTACGACCCATCAAATTCTCAATCACGATACCTAATGACGTGAAATATTATTTTGATATAATCAAAATTGATAAATTAAAACACCCTTTTAATTTATCACCAATCACACTCGCCGTCCTAATTTGACATCTAATAATGTGTTAGGGCAATACATGTGACAGGAAATGTCACGTGGTATGACAAAATCAAACTCGTTCGTTTACCGTGAAACTATAATTTCTTCGTTAATATGATCCGATCAATTACGATATATGGAAGTGTGTCAATCTCGATTATCAATCATATCTTTCACTTCACTATTAAGTCAATATAAGTCGAAAATTCCTTTTCAACTTATGAGTACACATTGGCCAATGATTTCGTTATCGACTTAATTGAATGAAACGCAAAACATAATTTCTTACTATCTAAGAGTGACAAATTCTCTATTAGTCATTCACAACCTTCATATGATTCTTGAAATACCCGAACGATGTAGTATTAGCGGCCCTTGGCAGAGCAACGTTCAACACCGTTAAAGTACGACTGTCCTCATATAAGATACTATGACGACCTCAAGTCAAAGGACCAATCTCACTACCGAACGTTAGAGATTAACCACTGACATTCAGATAGTTATCCATATGGAATCTCTAGGCGGGTCTCCAACGTTTTGTTCTATAACAAAATATTCATGTGTTCATTTAAGTGTTACCACACTTTAACTTGTGGGATGAGCTACTTACTTCACAAGTAAGAAATGCCACACGCGATGGTTTATCCGTAATAACGATATCCGTATCTCGTTATTACTTACGACCACAGACGATTTAAGATTCAATCATACGTAATTTGTATCTCCCAATCACAACTACTTGTGATTAATAAATTATGAAAATTTGAATCTACGGACTCTATTATTTAATTTAATAGTCTATTAATAAAATAATAAATTTGTCATTAAATTGTATTAATTATATATCAAAAGATTTATATCCAAGGTTGATTGGACCTAGGGCATAACACTTACAGATACTAAGTCTCTGTTTGATAACCATTATTTGAAAAAAAAATAATTATATATTCATTTTCAATAACACATTCATACAATAAAATAGTATGTACGTAAATTCAAAATATTTCCTACGTTTTAACCACACATTCTCTTAAAAATCACTGCTCAAAATATAATTTTTCTCAAATAATGATCGTCAAATAAGGATTAATTTTATCTCTTAATTACTTGGAACATAATTGGTAAAAATATTGTATTTCACACTAAAGCATGCATAGTCTTGTCACACCACTTCATTTATCCCCGTCACATGGTAACTTTGATATATTGCTAGTTTGCAGTTAATGCGCATTAATATCAATAAATTATTGGTCGATTTAATCAATAGAAAGTAAGGAAAAAAATTTTGAAATACGTATATAATTATTTTATGGGAAATGTATAGTTGAAAACGAAATTTAAAAAAATGTATTTTTGACAAAACGGGCTGAATTTAGATAATATCAATTATTCGGATCCTAATGGTCACATAAAAGGGTGAGTACCACAAAATAAAACTGAGTTCTTTTTTCCTGCTTTCGTATGACTTATTGCTCTCGCCATTGACTGTACAGAAATACCTCAAAAGGAAAAATGGTACTGTTTGCTTCGATAGTCAGATCGCTGAGTCAGCACAGCCGGAATGCCACAAAGCTTTCCGACTCCACTTGGTCAATCTTCAGGCACCTCAATATTTCCCAATCCAATGCGTTCAAGTTCCAAAGCGTTCGAACTCTCCTCTTGCAATCAGCTACTGAGTCTGTTAAATTGCAGAAACTCACTGATTCTGACTCGGGTAAATGTTTCATCTTTAATGTTTGAAATTTTAATTTGTGTTCTGAATTAATTTGTTAATTCTTGTTTAGTTTTACCAAATTCTATAACCTCTGGTGCTTCTGGTTTGATTTTGAAATTCTAATCGATTATTTGACTCTTACTGCATTGTATCATTTTGCAAACTTTTATGTAGAAATATTGGCCAAATAGTTCGTGAAAGGTGAAAATTTTTGGAAGTTAATTACCATTCAAACTAGAATAAATAAATAGAAGAAGAAGAATACTCTGCAGCTTCTTTTGCTAGTATTGATATTACTAAACTGCTGCTGCTATAAGAAATTGCCAAAGAAAGAAATTAGAGTAGCAGAAATGAGAGAATTCCCTTGTTCTATTAATTCACTGGTGTGGATACTTTACAATTCTACCAGTATATATCAGGGAAACAAAAAGAATATTCCTTAGCCAATCGGTTACAGCTAGCTGGGTAAAACAAGAAGAAAAGAAGCTGTACAAATTAAAACTGTATAACAGAATACCAGATAACCAATTAGATTCTCTGGCCTCATCCTTTATCTTCTAGAACTTTGCCTGCCCTTCTATCTTCCAGAAACTTCTGTGCTTGTGCTTCCAAAGGGCTACGATCCAGCTCATCATCCAGGTAGACTAGCGATGCCTGCTAGGATCGCTGACTTACATTTTATGATAGCCCCGACAAGATGGAGAGTAGATATCCTCTATTCCCATCTCAAGAAGATAAGAATAGAGGCTTGGAGAACACAATGCCTTAGTCAAAAGATCTACAATTTGCTGGCCACTACTGACATGTTATGTAACTATGCTCCCATTCTGAATCTTTTCGCGAATGAGATGACAAGCAAGCTCAATGTGCTTGGTCCTCTCATGAAAGATGGGATTTGAAGCTATGTGGAGTGGAAGCCTTGTTATCACAAAAAAATAGTTGCTACTTGTGGATGTTTGATTTGTAAGTCATGAAGAAGGTATCTTAGCTAAGTCAATTTGCAACACAAATTTGCCATTGCTAGATATTCTGCCTCTGCAGAAGATCTAGACGCAAATCCTTGCTTTTTAGACCTCCAAGACACCAAAGAGGACCTTATAAAAACACAATATCCAATAACAGACCACTTTGTACCTAGTAAGCCCCCAATCCAAATCACAATAACTTGTCAAATGCAAAGTTGAGTGTGAAGAGTAGAGCAAGCCCTGCCACAACGCCCTTTTGATGTATCTTAAGACTTTAAGAGCAGCATTAAGATGAAGTAACCATGGATTATCCATAAATTGACTTAACAATTGCACTGAGTATGCCAAATCAGATCTTGTTATAGTCAAATACAAATGTCTCCCAATCAACCTTCTGTAAATTGATGGTTTAGGGATAAGTTCTCCTTGACTTTGGAATGTTTCAGATTTTGGTCAAGTGGAATATATGCTGGTGCAGCACTAATTTTACTTGCATCTGTCAAAATATTCAGCGCATACTTCTTTTGACATGTGTATGCCTCTATCTGACCTTGCTATCTCAATCTCAAGGAAAAAATCCAGCTGTCCCAGATCTTTGATTCTAAATCTATCATGAAGAAAAGCTTTGAAAGCATTAATACTAAACAACTACTTGCCATGATAATATCATCAGCATATACTAAAATAGCAGTGATAGAATTTACTGTGGTCTTTGTAAATAGGCTGTAATCTGCCTTAGATTGTGTGTACCCTTGCTCAATGATAAAGTTAGACAACTTAGAATACTATTGCCTATACGCTTGTTTAAAATCATACAAACTTGTCTTCAATTTACAGACCTTTGATCCATTAGCATTGGGATAACGCAGAGGTAGTTGCACATAAACTCCTTCCTCTAGATCACCATGTACAAAAGTATTGTTTACATCAAACTGGTATAGATGCCATCCTTTATTGGTTGCCACTGCTAATAAAGTTGTAACAGTAACCAATTTTGCCACGGGAGAAAATGTTTCATGATAGTCAAGTCTTTCCTGCCGTGTATAGTCCTTAGCAACTAGCCTGGCTTCATACCTCTCTATGGTTCAATATGCTTTGAACTTTATCTTATACACCTACTTGCAACCTATAGCTTCCTTACCAAGGCGAAGATCAATGATAAGCTGAGTGTCATTCAATTCAAGAGCAACTATTTCAGCTTTCATCGCACTACACCACTCGGGTAATTCTAAAGCTTCCTTAAAATTTCTTGGTTCTGTGTGTGCGCTAATGGAAACAACGAATGCTTTGTAAGGAGTGGACAATTTATGATAGGATGGAGTAGCTTCTAAAGGAAAGGGTTTACCTGTTGAAATGTTGACCTTTTCTTGTCCAAGTCCTGTAAATAGAGAAGTGCAACTGCTTGTTGAAAAATAAAATCTTGTAAATGTGCGGGAGTTTTTCTAATTCTATTTGATCTTCGAAGAAGAGGCTCATCCAAGGACTGGTTTTGAGAAGAATCAATGTTGTCTTGTGAGGTATGTGAAGGGTTAGGCAGATTGGGTACATGCTGAAGTTTTGAGTTGCATTTGTGGAAGAAAAAGTATCTATTTGTCTCAGTTTGATCTAAAGTTCCTACAGATTTGATGGGAGTCGAATTTGAGTTACTGTTTTCCTCAAATTCTGAATTATTTCTTGCTGATTCATGGTAGTTTGAGATAGTGATAATGGGAGTTTGAGAAATGAAGTTTTGAATTGGATTTGAATCACAGTCAACATTATTATCAGTTCTCTGTTTTATAAGGAAAAATATTTTCATGAAAAATCACATTTCTTGATATGAAAACTTTTCTTGTTTCTAAATCCATCATTTTGAATCCCTTGATTCCAAAAGGGTACCCCAAAAATATGCATTTTCTAGCTCTAGAATCAAACTTGTGCCTTCCATTTACTAACGTGATGGCTAAGGCAAGATACCCAAAGACTTTGAGGTGACTGTAGATTGGTTTGGACTGAAAGAGCATTTCAAAAAGGGTTTTGTGGTCCAAGAAAGGTATAGGGGTTCTATTTATGAGGTATATAGCCGTGAGGACATAGTCACTCCAATATCTCAAGGTATTTCACTCTGAAATTTTAAGGCTCTGGCCCCATTTAATGTATGGTGGTGTTTTCTTTCAACCATAGCATTTTGTTGTAGTGTTTCCACACATGTTCTTTCATGAGTGATCCCTTTTTGCATATAAAACTGTTTCATGTCAAATTCTCCACCATTGTCTGATCTGATAACCTCAATTTTAGTTTAAAATTGAATTTCAATCATGAGCAAAAACCTTGTAAACCAGTACTAGCATCATATCTCAATTTCAATACACACACCCAAGTACATATACCGAAATTATCCGCTATAGTTAAAAAATATCGAAAGCCATCATAGCTTGTCTCATTACATGGTCCCCAAATATCACAATGTATGAAATCAAAACACTTTTTTGATATATGTTGACTAAGAGAGAATTGAATTTTCTGCAGTTTAGCTGGAGGGCATACCAAGCATGGCCTTTTGGTAGCTTTGGGCGTATGGTTTGGTAATCCTATTGTGGAATAGGTAGAGTGTCCTAACCTATAGAGCCAAAGATCAAAATCTTCAGTGCCATTAGAAATAGTAGAAGCAGACATGTGCATTTTGTGGGTTGAGTGAGCTAACTTTTTGACCAAAGCATGTGAGAAACTTCCTGTTGCGGCAAGTGATACAAGCCTTGTTTTACTTCATCCATTCTAGTCATTTTCCAACTTAAAAGGTCTTGTATGAAACATAAATCAGAGAGAAAAATGAGATAAGGATTCATGGTTTGTGCTATTTTTCTTGCCAATATAAGATGAAAAGAAAATGAAGGCACACAAAGCACATTGTCAAGAATTGAAGGCTCTAAAAATTTGACGGTCTCAATATGAGCGACCGGGACTACCTCACCATTAGGGAGAGCAACAGAATAGAGACCTCAGCTTTGATTTTGAGAAAAAAAATGAGGCAGAGTAGATCATGTGATTTGTTGCCCCTATATCTAAGATTCAAGGAAGAACAGAAGAATTAGACAATTTAGTGCTATGAACAAAAAGGCATAGAGATATACCGGAAATTTTTAGCTTGTCAAAAAAGGCATAGAGATACACCAGAAATTTTTATCTTGTCACTATCATTAGAATGGGTTGGAATAATGGAGTGAACTTGATTTGCTGAAATGTGTAGTGCCATAAGCTGAGCATATTGCTCTTGAGTTAAAGATATTTGAGCTTTATCACTTACGTGTTCTTGGCCAGGAGGCACAAATGTCGTGGTCTGATTAACAAAGGGTGTTGTGGACTTGTTTCAACCTTCTGACTTATGGCCTAGTGGGTAGCCATGTAACTTGAAGCATTTGTCTATTGGATGGCCTAGCATTTGATAGTAAGCACGGGTTGGCTTGTCTAGATTAGCCTTGAAACACCTTTCAAGAGAATGGTCGGCTTTCTTGCAGTAGGTATGGTAATACTTGTCCTTCTTTTGTCCAGATGAGCTCCTTCCTCCATCTCTGAAACTTCCTTTCGCCAGGAGTGCCATAGAATCAGTCACGGTACCATCAGAGGAAATCTGCGTCCTCTTTTCTTCTTATTTTATTATCACATACACTTCATTCAGACATAAGAAAGGTATAATTTACAGAATTTTGGGCCTTGAGACCCTTATAAGAATCATTAAATCCCATTACGAATTTCATAACCTAATCTCTCTGTTAGTTACTAATCACATTCTTTAAACCCCCACAAGAACAGTTAGGTATTGACTCATTATTCATCAATTCGTCCCAAAAGAGTTTTAAGCTTGGAAAAATGGACTCTTACAACATCTTGATTTTGGACTAGAGCTATTATACTGTGCTTGATTTTATATATTCTTCGGGTATTCTCCTGTGTAAAACGTTGTTCTAGCTTTATCCATAGCTGGTGGGCTGTTTTTGCATATACGGTATTTGACATCTACTGACATAGTGTTTTGAAGTCAAGTGATTACAATGTCATTGCGTCACAACCAATGCTTTATCAGAGTATAGCATGGGTCAGCTGGCTCACAAATGCTCCAGTCAATGAAACCGAGCTTGTTTTTAATCCTAAGTGCTCTCTTCACGGACCTTACCCAGGAATAGTAGTAGTTGCTTGCATCGACTAGATGAGTGATCAGTTTGGCACCATTGCCATCACTGTTGCCAATGTAGTAAGGACTACTTGGTGATGTAGGATCATGAGATACAGCTCCCGATTCACCAGAGGAGCTTAGATTCATATTTGGATTTGAATTTGGAGGCGAGTTTTGAGTAGTGTTGGGATTTGTGAAATCGGTTTATGCCATTGAGGCTCTGATATCAAATAAGAAATTGCTAAAGAAAGAAAATAGTTGTATTAATTAACTGGTGTGTATGCTTTACAATTTGACCAGTATATATCAGGGAAACAAAAAGATTATTCCTTAGCCAATCGGTTAAAGCTAGCTAGGCAAAACAAGAAGAAAAAATGCTGTGCAAAATAAAACCGTATAACAGAATACCAGATAACCAATTAGATTCTTTGGCCTCATCCTTTATATTCTAGAACTTTTCCTTCTCTTCTATCTTCCAGAAATTTCTGTGCTTGTGCTTCCAAAGGGCTACGATTCTGCTCATCATCCATGTAGACTAGTGATGCCTGCTGGGATTGCTGACTTACATTTTCTGATAGCCATCAACACCACTACCACTATTGCTACTAAATCTAGGGGTGGGAAGGGATGGGAGAGAGAGGACATTGTGAACCATACCTCTATTAAATGAACTTTCAAAACTCTTTTATTATGATGAAGCAGTGTATAAAAATTAGGGCTGGACAAGATCCGGTTCGGTTCAGTTCTAACTAGAACCGAACTAACTCAAAATTTTCGGGTATTTAGTAAGTGGAACCGTCAAATCCAAATTTAATTATGGAACAGTTCAGGTTCGGTTTGGTTCGATCCGGTTCGGTTCCATTCTGTTCCGTATTATAATTAATTTTTTTAATATATGCAAAGTTACATTAATTTAATTAATGATATGTTCAATATTAGCTCTTACAAAATAACGTAGTCCAATCTTATGTGCCTTTTACGTCTCTCTTTGCTGAATTCTTCATAAATTTGATTATTAAAATCACAGTAAAAGAGAGATAGCGAGCTCAAAATAATTACGAGATGTTGTAGAGTTTTAATTCGATTTTCTCCAGTAGAAACGACACTACAATAGAGTAACAAATTTGGATAAAATTGAGGTCAATTTGATTAAATTGATTTTAAACTGAAAATTAGAAATAGAAAAATCATATTTTGTGGTTTGAATTAAATTAACTAGTTAACAAATTTATTTAGAAAAAATAAAATAAATTTGCTTATTTAAAATAAATAAATTAAAAAAATTGAGATTTGGTTCTTATTCGGTTTTCCGGGTCTTGGCCTAGAACCAGAACCGTACCTGTCGGCTCTTGATTCAAATATCCATTCGGGTATTTAATTTGAGAAGAACCGTCGGGTTCGGTTCGGGAGTTTTGTCCAGCCCTAATAAAAATGTGTCCTGTATTTTTCAGTTAACATATTGAGTGACTAAATTTTGACTGGCCAATGCATTGTTTATCTCAAAACTGAAGAGACTTTCACTTGCAGGAATTTTTGAGGTTAATTTGGATAGGCCAGGAACCAAAAATGCTATTGGGAAGGATATGCTCAGGGGACTGCAGTATGCATTTGAGACTGTAGATAAAGACCATTCGGCCAAGGTTTTGATGATCTGCAGTTCAGTTCCCAGAGTATTCTGTGCTGGCGCTGATCTGAAGGTTAACTAAAAACTTTGCTTTTAAAATGAGGCATTTATGCAAAGAGTAGACATCATGAGATAGAATATTATATGAACTTTTAAAAACAGAAAAGCTGTAGAAGACGGAAAGGAGGAATATGAAAATCTCCCAGTTGTTGTGAAATAGTATATTAATTGATATTTAGGTAATTTAAAGGTTCTTCAAGATAGTTTTTTTAGGTAGAGTTTACATTGTGGTACATTGAAGCGTTCTAATTAATTTTACTTTTCCTTAGAGAAACCTCATTCCTTTTCTTGAGCGTTAAAATTCAATAGCCAGTGAAGTACATAGGAGTCAAGAACCCCAGCCAGGTTTAGTTACCTTGCTCTTATCAGAACTGAACTAGTACAACAAATACAGGTCATGTTATTCATTTTTATGTTAACGTGCTCAGCCTTAAGCAAAAGATTGAGAGCCATAGTCACCAACCTGTTATCAGGTTTGATGTTTCCTTGTGAAAATATCTTCTGTTAATAAATCTTTTCTGCTCGAAGTGTCACAATTGTTTATACTATTTTATAGTAGAAACTATTCATCTATCATCTTTGATTGTTAAAGTCTTGTATTATGCCAATCTTATTGTTATGTTTCTGCTCTCTCTATCTTCCTCTTATTTTACTAAGCTGATTGAGGTTCTTAAATATGTGCCTTCTATGATGTTGGATTCTAGGAAAGGAAAATGATGAGTCCATCTGAAGTACAAGATTTTGTAAATACTCTGCGTTCCACATTCTCCTATTTGGAGGTCTATCCTCATCTTCTAATACAGATTATTCATTGTTCTCGTTATTAACGTTTGAACTTTAGTAAACATTTCTTTGTATTCAGGCACTCAGTATCCCAACTATAGCAGTCATTGAAGGTGCTGCATTGGGTGGTGGGTTAGAAATGACATTGTCTTGTGATCTTCGGATATGTGGTCAGTTAATGTTTTATTAATTTAGAATGTTAAGTGATGGCCATGTGCTGCATTTTTTGAACTTGACAGTTCCATGATAAATGACACAGGAGAAGATGCAGTTTTGGGATTGCCAGAAACAGGACTTGCTATAATACCTGGGTATCTCTCATACACTTATTGTGTGTTATATTGACTGCATAACCGTGTTACTGCAACGCGAATCATCTTTTTCTATCCACTAAGTGCATGTTTGGTACAATACTGGCTAGGACTCCAACTCACAGTATAATGAAAAGATTTTAGCTTTTTTCCTTCCTTATTATTGCTTTGTATGATCCATCACCCCCTAGCAAACATGTCATAAAGAATCCTATTTTCCAGTCTGTATCATCCACATTCTACCTATTAAAATAAAAGTCTGTATGATCCATATCACCTCTCTTTTATTTTACATGTCTATTGGTGCATGAATAAGTTATGACTAATGGAGAATTGCATAACTGCTCAATATCTGGCCTTGATAGATATAGTTGGAACAATACATCTATAAATTCCTTCATTTAAGTACTTGACTGTAGAAAGATTTCTTGCATCAGTTATCTAATTAATGAATAATCTAGCCCTTTTCAGGGCAGGTGGAACACAGCGGCTTCCTAGATTGGTTGGAAAATCAACTGCAAAAGAACTTATATTTACTGGTCGAAAGATTGATGGCAGGGACGCTTTCTCCTTAGGTATATTCAATTGAAGCATCAATGTTTTAACCTTTTTTATTTTTTTCTCAAACGCAATGTCAAAGATGATAAGCCTGCACTCCTCCCACTATGCTCCTGCTCCCCACCCGACCCCAAAAGAAAATGTACAAATAAAGGAAATTCTAAAAAGATGAATTGCCCTGCAGGACTTGTGAATTACTGTGTACCTTCTGGTGAAGTTCATTCAAAAGCTCTTGAAATTGCTCGGAATATAAATCAGAAGGTATGTAGTTTACCTTTTACTTAAATTTCCTTGTATAGACAAGAGCATTCAACTCTAATGCTTTGTTAACTCTACTCTTTTAAATGAATGAAAGTTGGATAAAGGATAGTGTGAATCGGCTATAAGCCTTCAAATCATACTACAGATGTTCAATTTTTTTTATACTGCCTGAATAAGTTTCAACTTATTTTATATAATAAATTTTAATATGGACAACACTCGACCACGTGATTAGGGTAAAAGATGAAAAATATTAGTTTTTTTGTTATGTCTGCGTAGTCTTGATTTAGAGGTTTGATAGATGTGTCATTTTGACATGTATTAGCAAACCACATTTATACCCTTGTCTGACAAACTTAGCTTTCAAGTGTAGAATTGTCAAGATATTCGATTTGGATTTTTCGTCCTTAGACAAAGTACTGGTTGAGAGCAAGAGTCCTAGTAAAGAGTTTCATGCATGTTGAGATCCACAGTATGCATAAGGTGCAATCTGTTTGATTATCCTTACTGCTATCATTTTAGTGTTGTATGGGCATGTTGGGTGTCATTGATATGTTGACAGTATTAAGGAAAGTAGTTACCGATACTATATGCTGACGTTAGGAGCTAAAATTACTTTCTATCATGCCCCCAAAAAATTGGGTCTTGAACATGTCATTGAAGAAGATCTTGTGAGATCAGTAGTTCACGAGCAATGAAAATATGATTTTTGTTATTTGACATGGACAAAATTGAAAACGTTTGCAATGTAATTTATATATGGTCGAAATACCAAATTGGTGGACAAGTATGCCTATTGTCACAAGAAATAGTGGGAATGATGGAGGATATACCAAGCTCGCTGAGTAGATTACTAACCCAATTAAGCCGATGCTGTAGCTTGGAATTCAGCTCTGATTAGATATGTGAACTACCGTCTTTTGTTTCTTCGGCCATTGCATGGTTTTGGATCATTGAGCTGTGATATTGATATCAGTGTATCGTCTGTATTGTTCGGTATAGGCTATTACTCGATTTGTGCAGATGTAATTGTTGATTAGTTGGAATAGTCATCTTGCTATTGTAAACTGTAAACTCGTATGCTTCTTAATTGTTGGGTCCTCCATTAATCAAGAAGCTTATTATGTATAAGATAAAACATTAGACATTGGAGGAAGACAAGATAAATTGCACATTGATTCTTTGGAAAACGTAATTGTTTTGAGGCCAACATCTTGCATGTAAACCAGCGGAATTCATATTGCAGGGACCATTAGCAATTAGGATGGCAAAACGAGCTATTGACAAAGGATTGGAGGCAGATACGGCATCGGCTTTGGCTTTGGAGGAGGATTGCTATGATCTGCTGTTGAACACAAAAGATCGCCTAGAAGGCCTTGCGGCATTTGCTGAGAGACGACAGCCCAAGTATATTGGCGAGTAAAAATTCCTTTTAGCTGAACAATAAAAATTGATCTTTAAATAGTCAAAACTCCAATGATACTGAATAATAGATATAAGTTTATTTCATTTTCGAACTTCTTCAGATAGCAATGTATGTTTTCATTTTTGCTGAATTTTGTGGAAAAATTTACATGCTTCTGTAATTTGCAGAAATATTAAATATGCTACCGGCTTGTTTGGCTAAGTTTAAAAATTCATTAGAAGCAACTTTTTTTTAATGCTTAATGAGTTCCAGAACAACTTAAGCACTTTGTAGATGTCTATACTGGTGTGGTGTCTGACATCTGATAGCGTTTTAACATGTTGTATTTCTAAGGTTTATCTTCTCTCACTGAATGTTAATTCTCAAAGGACAGGCTATTCACCCATCTCTGATTTCTGAAGTAGACAACATTAAAGTCTTCTAAAATAAAACATCCAATCCTAACATTTTGTATGGATGATGGTACCACCAGATCTATGTTAACCACTAGAGTTTAAAGGTTTTTTTCTTTCCTTCTTTCGTTTTTTCACTCATAAAGAATTGAACTCAAGCACATTTTTTTTTTTGCAAAAAAAAAAAAAAAAAAAAAAAAAAAAAATTTTTAAATCTTTTTAAAAAAAAA